TTGGCCTGGGTGCAATCCATGAAAAAAAGTACATAGAATTTTGAAGTGAGCAGTAGCACAGTGGCTAAATGGTTAGCACTTCCAATTGGAAGTACTAGGGTCGCTGGTTCAAATCCCAACCATGGCACCATCTGCCTGGATTTGTATGTTTTCCCTGTGTCTGCGTGAGTTTCCTCCCACACTCCAAATACATGCTGGTAGGTTAATTGACTCCTGTTTAAACTGGCCCGTGTATGTATGAATGTAAGTTAGAGACGTTAGATATTGTATGCTCCTTGAGGGGAGCTTAGGGACTGATGTGAATGTACTATATATATGTAAAGCACTGCATAAAATTGACAGCACTATATAAGTACCTGTAATAATAGATGCACCCACTACCTGCTTTATATATACACAATTTTTTATCCTACAAAGATTCCTATTTAAAAGAGCGGCATAGCAAAAACTGAAATGTAAGCACTGTTAATGTAACAACTAGAATAAGTAATGTAAGTAAATGAGTTCAGATTCCCTGTCAGCTTTCTGAAACAACAGCAAACAGATGCTGACTTATGTCAGATATACACAACTTCAAGGTGATAGTACAAACTATGAATAAGGATTGGTAAATATTAAAGTCATCAGCTCTAATGAATAGCATTCCTTCATAATTTCAATGGTAAGCACAAGTCGTTGAGCTGCAAACCCAGCAATCTTTTCTGGTCCCTGAACATAGCCTTAACAGAATTAACATAAGCTACAGCTATCTCCTCCTGTACCACCATCCCCTCCCTCCTAGATTGTTAGCTCGAAAGAGCAGGGCCCTTGATCACCTCATGTTTTGCATTGTATTGGTATTGTTCTGTCACATGTTCTGTCCCCCCTTGTAATGTACAGCGCTGAGCGAACTATTGGCGCTTTATAAATACTGTATAATAATAATAATAATAATAATAAAAAAAAAATAAGCGATCATAGGGTCTGAGGGATGTACTGAAGGGGTATTGAGATGTTTTTAAATGCATCTGTATTGCAGGTTTTGCAATATGACAATCAACATTACTGCACAGAATAAAATTACATTCTGATAGAGACCAATTATGATATAAATTATATGCATATTATACTTAGAAGATCTTGTTAGTCTTCTGGTCTACTGTATGTAATGTAGGCTTGCTTGATGTCTTGTTGGTATTTTCCATCAGTGTCACCACAAAATTATAAATATAATTTCATCATAGAAGGCATTTTGAAAATTATGTATTACTTGGCTCTGATAGTTCAATCTCACATCAAAATCCTGATTTACACCGTCGTATTTATTTACTGAATAGGTTTAGCAACAGATTATTTAGGATAAATCTGCATTAGGAGCCTTTCTAGACAAGTATTGTTTATGATACTGCTAGACGTTTAAAGCCCCCAACCCCTCCTTGGCATCTAACTTTATCTTCTTTCTGTCTAACATGGAGTTGTTTTCAGTCGATCATCCTGTAAAGTTAAATTCTTTAATTTGTCAAATGTATTCAATGCAATGAATGCCTAGCACAGAAGTGAGATTTAGCCTAGGTTCACACTACATAGGTGCAGTAAATCCAATGTGATTCACACAGGAACCGCACCGCATTCCTGTACAAATCACATGCGATTTGTATGCGGTGTGATTAGAGCCATACATTTTGTATGGCTCTATTCGCACCGCACCCGCACCAAAAACATGCAGGTCTGCACTAGAATCGGATCACATAGGTATTCACACCTATGCAATCCAATTCTGCACATCGTAATGTGTTTTGCAGACCAATGTTGGGGTGTTGTTAACTTAACATACACCCCCGCATTGGTTCGTATGAACGGGGTGCGATTGTGATGCGGTGCGGAATTCACACTGAAACGCTGTGAACCAGGGCTGAAAGTGTTTTTTTTTTTTTTATTATTATTATTAAATAACAAACATGTCTATACTTACCTGTTCTGTGCAATAGAATTGCACAGAGCGGCCCAGAACATCCTCTTCTCGGGTTCCTCGTTGACACATCACAGCAACTCTTAGGAAACACAGCATTTTGCCTTGTCCAAGATGCATTGTAGAGTTCTTTTCTGGATCCTGTAGCCTGTAGGCTTTGTAGCCTCCATTCCTAGTTCTACATCTTAAAGAAGAACTCTGGGATAGGCAAAACAAATCACCCATTAGTACATCCTCCAACACAAAACAATAAACAGTTAATAAAACTTTGAAAATCCTTACCAATTAAGAGAAAAGTCTAATTGAATTTTCATGACCTCATCGCGTAATTCAAAAGATAACATCATCTGCTCTGCCAAGGAGGAGATGTAATAGCAGGGATTGCATCAAATCCTCTTTCTCTGCAGTAAAAGGAAACTACAGTTCCCATCAACCACAAGGAAAAGTAGTGAATGTGGGCGGGTACACTAGGCCAGCAGATGTTGAACGTGTCTGAGAGTTTTGGTCTGCCGATCACTGCAAGTGGGGCTGAATTACATCACTGCTTCCTGGAGAAAGAACTACAGAAGGGATGTGCCAAGTCCAGTGGCTGGGGGAATAAGAGGCATAGCAGCCACTAGTCTTACAATCAGGAAACCAAAGAGAATTACCAGTTTGATTTGAAAACGAAAAGGCTATTTAAAAGCAACTACAAAGTGAATTAGAAGATGGATTGCATATTCAATGAAGGTAGGAAATCAGCAACAAAGACATGTAAAGACATTTTTACCTGGAGTTCTACTTTAATTGACAATGAGACCTCATTATTATTTTTATAATATATACAAGCTGACTGATGCTCAGGGCTCTCTTCCTCGCTCTCTCTGCTGTGCTGTGGAGCCAGCTGAGTTTAAAGGTTAAGTGCTGAAAGAGCACTAAAAAAGGGCCAAGTGCTACCTGTTTGCTTTGGGGGATCCATTAAGGGGCACCCTGTTACTCAACAATTGACCTGAGTTGGTTGCTTGGATGAGCAGATGTTTTGTTTGTTTTATGGTATGGACTCATACCTCCCAATTTTCTGTAATTATAAATAGGGGCACCTTTTAGCACACAGTATGTAAGAAAAAGGACATGCATAGACCACAAAAATCCAACATGCAGAAAATAATTTGCTAGGTGCTTTTTTGACTTCTACATTTCCTTCACGTTGGCTTTTCAAAATAACAAATGTAGTACTATAGAGGTAGGATAAAAGGTTTAGTGCAGCATAACATTATTTGTAGTAAAATAGTACATTTTTGTACAGAGATGTACATGTAAGACCAGAAAGAGCAACAACTGAGGTTGCATGTGGGACGGAGGGATTTGGTCTCGAAAGATGGACAGTCCCTCCAAATGAGTTGGGAGCTATGTGGACTTGTGGTACAAACCCTCCTGCACTGAAACTGCTTGTTTGTGGCCTTTTTAAATAAAGATGCAGGACAAACCTGCTTGAACTGTTCCTGGGTGTTCCTGTCTTGTGCACTGTTTATTGCTGCTGGTTCTGTTCACCTTACAAAAGATGTCAAAGGTAGATATTTTATAGAAGCAAGAAGTCATCAGCACTCATATGATGTTCATTGCTTTGTTTATTGTGAAAACAGCATAACAAAAGTCAGAATAGCTATAACTATTAATAGGAACTCTTCAATGTGATTTTCACAGTTAGGCCTGTTAAACACGTGCTGAGTTTTTTTACTGATCTGAAATGAGATGCATTGTTGTCTATGGGACATTGCACACAGCTTAGTAAAGATCAGTAATACAGAGTTGAGTACAGAGCAGTAATAAAAACTTACTAGTCTATAAGCATGTTTACGTGAGTATAAATAAGTATATTATGTAGTATCCTCCTAGTTAGCTAGCGGCAGCTAAATAGTTATTTGTTTAGTTAGAGGCTGAATAGCAGTCTGTGCAATAGCCAGAGAGTCAAATTTGGGTAAGGGCTAAGAGGCTCTGCAGATCAGCTTTCTGAAACGTCCCCCTGATCTAGAGACTTTGAAAAGTCTCTAGAGCTCAGTGGGAGGGGGTGAGGAGGGGGCTGGTCTGCACTCTCAAGGGATCCTTGCAAATCCCCAAGCAGGAGGTTTGGCATGGGGTCAGGATAGCCCTTAACGTTTTACTAAAACCCACAACAGTAAAATCAGCCTGTATATGCAGTAAAGCATGCTTGTTATACTCACTGTGGAACATAAAGGGTTAATCCTCTGCATTGTGTAAAAAGGCTGTTTGATCCTTTCTTCTCTGCCCCTCCTCTTGATGAAATGACCACCTGATACAGACTGAACCCGTGGTCACATGCACATGCTCAGTTTGCTGTGTATTGCTAGAGAGGTTTTTTTTTTTCTCTAACTCTAACAGGACAGGTATATACACAATATTGCCAAAAGTATTGGGATGCCTGCTTTTACAGACATATGAACTTTAATGACATCCCAGTCTTAGTTCGTAAGGTTCAATATTGAGTTGACCCACCCTTTACAGCTATAACAGCTTCAACTCTTCTGGGAAGGCTATCCACAAGGTTTAGGAGTGTGTCTATGGGAATGTTTGACCATTTTTCCAGAAGCGCATTTGTGAGGTCAGGCACTGATGTCGGATGAAAAGGCCCGGCTTGCAGTCTCCGCTCTAACTCTGTGGTTAGGATTCTGTGCAGGCCAGTCAAGTTCCCCCAAACTAAACTCACTCATCCCTGTCTTTATGGACCTTGCTTTGTGTACTGCTGGTGCGCAGTCATGTTGGAACAGGAAGGGGCCATCCCCAAACTGTTCCCACAAAGGTAGGAGCACGAAATTGTCCAAAATGTCTTGGTATGCTGACGCCTTGAAAGTTCCCTTCACTGGAACTAAAGGGCCAAGCCCAACGCCTGAAAAACAACCCCACACCATAATCCCCCATCCACCAAACTTTACTCTTGATACAATGCAGTCAGGCAAGTACTGTTCTCCTGGCAACTACCAAACCCAGACATGTCCATCGGATTGCCAGACAGAGAAGCATGATTCGTCACTCCAGAGAACACGTCTCCACTGCTCTAGAGTCCAGAGTCAGTGTGCTTTACACCACCGTATCTGACGCTTTGCATTGCACTTGGTGATGTAAGGCTTGGATGCAGCTGCTTAGCCATGGAAACCCATTCCATGAAGCCTTCTACTCACTGTTGTGCTAATCTGAAGGCCACACAAAGTTTGTAGGTATTTAGCTATTGACTCTGCAGACAATTGGCAACTTCTGCGCACTGTGTGCTTCAGCATGCGCTGACCCCGCTCTGTCATTTTATGTGACCTACCACTAAGTGGCTGAGTTGCTGTTGTTCCCAATTGCTTCCACATTTTTATAATACCACTAACAGTTGATCGTGGAATATTTAGTAGCAAGGAAATTTCACGGATGGACTTGTTGCACAGGTAGCAACCTATCACAGTACCACGCTTGAATTCACTGAGCTCCTGAGACCAATTCTTTCACAAATGTTTATAGAAGCAGTCTGCTTGACTAGGTGCTTGATTTTATACACCTGTGGCCATGGAGGTGATTGGAACACCGGAATCCAATAATTTGGAGGGGTGCCCCAATACTTTTACCAATATAATGTATTTATGACTGGTGGGGGTACAGATATAAAGAGTCATATAGGACTTAGGTCTCGCTTCATAGTACAGCCAACAGGAATAATAGAGGACTTAAGAGAATGTTTGAAGTTAGTATTGTAGAAGTTCAGGGAGCTAACTGTAGCCTTTTGTTAGGTAGTTTAAAACCTCCTTTTCTAAACTTGCAATTGTGTCTTCTGCAGAGTTTCAGGTTTGTTTTAAAACCCCGGCCTGAACTCTCAGACTGCCCATGCTGCAAAAAATGGCTTCTTTACAACTCAGCTGAGACCTGAAGCTATATTGTGTGTTCATTAACCATACAGGTTCTTTTAGAAACTGCTGTTTCACCTTTATACCCTTTTTTTTTCCCTTTGTGCTACAGATCACTGCCTTGATTTTTGCAGCCACCACATCCCTGTATGCATACACTCGAACAGCAAATGTACAGTTGTGTTCAAAATAATAGACGTCAGACATCACTAACCTGATCAATCACTGTTTTCAGTAGAAATTATATTTCTACATGGCAAATAATTTACTAGCAGGTGTAGTAGAGTAATAGAAATCCAACAGACCCAACAGTCATGACATGCATGCTGCTGATTCTGTGTAATTGAATCACTAATTGAAAGGGGCATGTTCAAAATAATAGCAGTGTGGAGTTCTATTAGTGAGGTCATTCATTCTTTGAAAAACAGGTGGCAATTATTGCCCTTATTTAAGAAAGGAAGGCAGCAAATGTTGTACATGCTGGTTACAGTGCATTTCTCTCTGAAATTCTGAGGAAAATGGGTCGTTCCAGACATTGTTCAGAAGAACAGCGTACCTTGATTAAAAAGTTGATTGGAGAGGGGAAAACATATAAAGAAGTGCAGAAAATGATAGGCTGCTCAGCTAAAATGATTGCAAATGCTTTAAAATGACAACCAAAACCTGTAAGACGTGGAAGAAAGTGGAAAAACTACCATTCGAATGGATAGAAGAATAGCCAAAATGGCAAGGACTCAGCCAACAATCAGCTCCAGGAAGATCAAAGAAGGACTAAAGTTACCTGTGAGTACTGTTACAATTAGAAGACACCTATGTAAAGCCAAGCTATCTGCAAGAAGCCCCCACAAAGTTCCACTGTTGAAAAAAAGACATGTGCTGAAGAGGTTACAATTTGCCAAACAGCACATTGACTGGCCTAAAGAGAAATGGCGCAACATTTTGTGGACTGATGAAAGTAAGATTGTTCTTTTTGGCTCTAGTGGCCGGAGACAGTTTGTCAGACGACCCCCAAACACTGAATTCAAGCCACAGTACACTGTGAAGACAGTGAAGCATGGTTGCGCAAGCATCATGATATGGGGATGTTTCTCATACTACAGTGTTGGGCCTATTTATCGCATACCAGGGATCATGGATCAGTTTGAATACATCAGAATACTTGAAGAGGTCATGCTGCCTTATGCTGAAGAGGAAATGCCCTTGAAATGGGTGTTCCAACAAGACAACGACCCCAAACACACCAGTAAACGTGCAACATCTTGGTTCCAGACCAACAAGATTGACGTTATGGAGTGGCCAGCCCAATCCCCGGATCTTAATCCAATAGAAAACTTGTGGGGTGACATCAAAAATGCAGTTTCTGAGGCAAAACCAAGAAATAGAGAAGAACTGTGGAATGTAGTCCAATCATCCTGGGCTGGAATACCTGTTCACAGGTGCCAGGAGTTGGTTGACTCCATGCAACACAGATGTACAGCAGTTCTCAGAAACAGTGCTTATACAACTAAATACTAATTAAGTGATTCAAAGGAAAGCAAAATCTTCAAACATTTTTTAGTTTATATAGTGAATGTTTGAGTTTGTAAAGAAGAATACAAACACTGCTATTTTTTGAATAGTCTAATATTCACTTTTCTTCAATTTTTGTAGAGGAACAAACACAAATTTGATATATTTTTCTTCATGTTTTGATTTGGAATAGAATGTGTAGAGTTCCCAATGCATTTGTGTGTATGGAAATAAAAGCTATTAGAAGGATTTTGAGCTTTATTCACTTTTTTCAACACACTGCTATTATTTTGAACACAACTGTATGTCAATCTTCAGTAACAGCTTTCTGAGAGTGGCAATGGTAGGACATGCCTGAGGATTTCTTCACTGACCACCAGTGCAAGAAGGCATTTCCCTACTGACCATCCATGTCAGGAGACATCGTTATTTTCACTGCCTTGAAGAGGGGATTTATCCATCAACCACAAATGTAAGAAGGTATTTCTTCAATGACCACCAATGTAAGGGGATGCTATAATTTTCACTGCCTGGATTTCCTTTCTTGTCAGTATTATTGCTGATATAATTTCACAGCTGTTGCTGAACTAAATGTTGTCATATAGAGCAAGGGAGTGTAGTAAAATGATCTTCTTAGATGTTTAAATACTCTAGGTTGAATATATTTTTTATTGAGCAGCACAACCCCAATAAGATCCATGTGATTGTTTGGGTCCTCCTGTCATGCACCAGTGATAAGCTACCCTGTACCTGGACCCGAGTGACCACTGACACACCTGAAAACAACTTGCAGTGGAGTTTATTGAAAGGAATACAATCCTATTGGAGAAATTGGTCAGGCATACAAGAAATAAAACCATCAACCATATAAAGGCAACAAGATTAAATAGCTAGGAGCTGGATCACCTGCTGGTGGCACCATTGTTCACTGACCTTAAGTGTGCAGTTATGTTGCCCACCAGCAGGTGTCTCCTAGCCAGCAGGTTCCAGAAATTGTTTGCACCTGATGCTGGGAGGCAATTTAATTCCTCCTCAGTTATCTCTCAGTGCATCAGTGTTTTATCTGTGTGTCTATCTGTGCTGTTCTTCTGTGTTCCTGACTCCTGTGAACCTGATCCCTGCCCAGGCCCCATTCTGGAGCCATCTTGCCAGCTGCCCCATGCCATTTCTTCTGATCCTGCTGCTTTGACTTGCTTCCCCATGTTCTTCTTGCTCCTCATATCCGCTTCCATCAACCTGGTCCATGTTCTGGCCTACTTCTTCGGGCCTTCGGGCCTACCCCTCTTATCTGCTACCTTTTTCTTTGTTTTTCATTGTGGTTGCTATGTTTATATTGTTAATGCTGAGGTCAGTAACTGATTGCACAGGGGATCCGTTAACGGATTTTAAATACTTGCTGTCTTGTTGTTTCAAGAGGCATCAAGATGAGGTATTTTACTATGTGTTGCTAGCAGCAGATATATGGGATAATTGTTGCCAGGTCTTTCAGAAACAAACTAGTGAACAGTTGTCGGAATGCTTTGTGTGGTTCATTCTTTTGTTGTTCAAGGCAGTGTTTCATTTAGTGAAATTCAGCCACTTATTCAGATCTGCTCTGAACTGGCTTTACCTGTTAACTCTCCCAGTGATGGTTTTTCTCCCCCTTTGTGCATCTTTGGTTGTGTTTCTGATGTGGCAGAGGATGATAATCCCTGTTTTTATGAACATTATTTAGCATATTCATGAGGGGCTTTGCTGTACTTCCTTAAAGTACAGTACAATGTCTAGTTGGACAGGACAATTGTTGAGTTTTGTTCAACCCCCTATTCCAATCTTGATCAACACCAGCCACAGTAAATCTACACCACTCCATTTCTGCCTCTAGACAAGCATTCCCAAAAATCTTTACCTGTGTTACCTATAGCAACCACAGCTGCCTACTCAGTTTACTTTACTTCCAATCATATATTGATACCCTACTCTACAACCTTCTGCTCCTGCTCACACTAGCTGTACAGCCCCTGTAGCCAGTCATCTTAAATCTCTCTCCACAGTCCCATTAACCATGGCAACTTCCTAAACACCCTACTTTGCCACTGCTACCGTACCCTCACAGCTTCCTATTGATATTCCAACTTTTCAGTTAACAAACTCACTCAAAGGAGTACAATATCCCAGTCTAAGAAGAAACAAAAGTTTTTGCAAACTCACACCATTCTTTCACTGTCCACTCCTGCCACTGTACCTGTTCCAGTCTCCATTCAGTCTGATCCTGCTCATTCTGCAGACCAATATTTCACCAAACCAGTCATCCCAAGCCATTGACCAACCCACCTGACCCCTCACTCCTAGCCAGATGCCTAAGGAAAGCCCACATCACCTGGCAGTGATATCAACCCTAACAGGCTGCAGGATTTGGCCTGTTTATTTTCCAGAAGCCCAGTCTGGTCTTTCTCCATTCCAACTGCTCCTATCTCGTCTGTTCCACAGCCTGCTGTTCCAGTCCAGGCTATGCTAGTACTGGCTGCTCTGGTCCAGTCTGCCTCCATGCTAACAGTCCTTGTCCAGCCTGCCTGTATGCTAGCTGTTCCAGTCCAGCATGCCTCTATGCTAGCTGTTCCAGTCCAGCGTGCCTCCATGCTAGATGTTCCAGTGCAGCCTGTATCAGTGCCATGAGCGCCAACCTAGCCTGTTCCAATGCCAGCAGTTCCAGTCTAGCCTGCCTCCATGCTAGCAGTCCCAATCCAGCCTGTCTCTATGCCAGCTACTCCATTCCAACCTGTTTCCATGTCAGCCCTTCCAGATTAGTCTGTTGCTGTGACAGCTTTCAGCCAATCAGCTCTTGAGTCAGCATCTTAGATGCTAACATGGGTTCCTGGCTATTCCCTGGGATTTACAGATTAGCTGTCAGCAATAAGGAACAACTTTCAAAGCCTTTTTCCTGGTCAACCAGCAAGAGTTACCAGAAGACAGTGCAGGGGTCAGTTTTATATGATGTCCAGAGTGCAGGGGTCAGAAGTATACACAGCCCAGAGCACAGCAGACCCGATTTCACCACCATTTGTTTTTGCACAGCATAGCAATACCACCTATGTACACATGCTGTATACATACTGTACATACATATACACACTATATACAAACACACTGTACACACACACAATAACAGCTCTTGTGTAACATTGCTGTCTATCCCGCCAGCGCTTTCAGCCACTCTGGTGGTGGAAACGCATTGGGGTGACGGTGCTGAGGATGGCATGCTGTAGGTCAAAACAAAGGAGGCTTGGCAGAGAGCACAGGGGCAGAAATAGAAGCCAGAGAGACTGATTTGGCGCTGTGCTGGGACAGAGTGAAGACCAAATTGACAGGAGTCACAGAATAACTCAACTAGCTCACAACAATGTAATAATCCACCACTCTTCCTCTGCACACACAGCCCTGCACTGCCATTTTCTTCTCTAACATCGAGGGCCATTTGTGTCTTTTGGATCCTTACTGCTGGTCTCACTAATGAGATGGTGTGTCATGACGGGATTAGTTGAAAGAACCAGGAAAAGGCAATCAGATCCCTGACCATACGCCACAGTGTATGTGGTACTGTAGAGTAACCCAAGACCTGGGATGCATGACATCAGTATAGCAGCAGCAGAGATGAAGGGACTACTACTTGGACTTTATTCTCGTCTAGGCAAGAATCTCAAACACGTGGGGAGGATTCCCCAAAAAAGGTATCAAAATAATTAAATGATTAAATGGGGGGGTGTCACGATCGTGGCGTCAGACCCCAGTCCTTCTCACCCAAACTCAAGACCGAAGGGCTAGCCGATCTAAAACTGCGATGTTACGTGCGTAACAATGCCACACCCAGCTGCACCCTGCACAACGATTTTCCAGCTAATGGATACAGATTGATGTACTGACAGCCTGAGCGATTGTTACTGGGTCAGGTTAATCACGCAATTAACCCTTCACACTGCCACCACCTCCTTTTTATACAGAGAAAGAGGAAACTCGGCGTTATCAGCTATAACACTATAATGATTGAGATAATCGTCTGTATAAAACGGTCCGCAGGCCGGTTATACAGAGGTTTAAAAACCACAGTAGTGTCTCTCTAGAGGCAGGATTTCGTGAGTTGCAATACAGAGCTATAGAAACAGTTCAACACTTTCAGAAAGAAAGATTTATTACTAAAAGGTCAAACAGGAGCAATAAAAATATTTACAGAACAAAGATGTAACTAAGTTATATATATACATATACAAAGAACCATAGCACAGCAAAGAGATATCAGAGAGAGGTGAAAGGGTTAGAGTACTTGCCAAAGTCCTGGGTTAGCAGATCCAAGTTTCAGAGCAGAAGGGTGCTTTGATCTCCCCATGTTACGATGGGAAAATGGGAGAATGCTTCAACTTCCTACTCTTAGGTCTGTGAGCCTATTTTGTAGTCCCCAGCAGGGGGTGTCTCTTAAGACAAGGCCCAATAACCCGTTTAGGGCATGTGTTATGGGCGGATGCCTCAACTAGAGCAAAAGTCGTCCATAACTCATATTTTGGCCCATAACTGTCCATCTGCACAAGGGACATTCCACCCGTGGGTAGATTATTATGCAGACAAGTCTAAGGATTATTTAGATATGAATTATGAACATGTACACTGTACGGTTCACGAGATCTATTTTTCTGCTTTCCTGTGTGTTCGAGACAAGGCGAGTGACCCATCAAACTGTTCGCCTGCTCATTGGCCATCTGACGATATGTCTGTTTTTTATGTAAGTCTCTCATATTCGAAGATATGAGACATAGGGGAAAACATGGTTTTAACAGAGGTTATCTGATTCTATCACCTATGCTGAGCTAGGTTTATGAGGTCGGAATCTCAACTCCTGAGAAAGCTTGCCTTATCTCTTCGGAGGTGTCACAATTGGCAGGTTCGGTGGACAGAGAGACTCCAACTCTCTTGGGGTCTTTTACAGCTCCTATGACCCTCCTGTGACATTCCTAACTCACACAAATACTGGCCACATGTCGCTGGGCCTCTCAGGAAGGGAGGGGGAAGGAGAATAAGGGAGAAATGGATACTCTTAACAAAATGGAGTCTGCGTCCTTCACTGTGTGTTGCGCACGTTTGTGACAGGGGGTATGTGTTAAATTATGGAAAAAGGGTAGAGAGAGTGAAGGCCCACTTTAAATAGTTTCCTTTCTGTCCCCAGGCCCCATCATTTCAGCAGGGATTCTGGGGGCAGAGAGGGGACTCTTTAGTCCTGCACCTTTCAGCAATTAAATTAAAGTTCACCAGGACCCATTGGTTGAGCAGGGGATCTGGGGACTCTTTAACTTTGGGCAAAGGTGCTCCAAACAATTCCCCTAGGCCTATTTAAAGTGAACCTTCAGCCTCCCCACCCAGACCCAGTACAAGACGACTACCTCTACCCCTGCATTGGTGGTCCAGTGTACAGGGAAATGTAAAAGCAGAAGCTATCTGTTGTGCAGAGAATGAAAAACATAATAAAAATATGCCCAATACTGTGTATACAGGAGAAATACACACACACAATGGCTGTTGAAACTTTTCTTCTTTACTCTGAGATCAACAAAGACTTTTACATTGTTAAGAGACAAAGTTAGATCATGTGTCAATTGGCTGAAACAATGCAGCTCTATGTCCTAGTAGAGGTCACTGCTATGTCCACAAGACTAAAAAGCTGTCTCTGTATTATCATGAGAAAGCAGCTGGGCAAAGAATCCTTTAAAAGAAGACTCTACGTATACACTGTAAAATGATACAGGATGGAGGGCTCCATTCACTGAAGCAGATTGCATGCATTATGTCGGTGTCTGGACTAATTTTCCTTAAATATTGCTTGCGATCCTGCAATTGACAATTCACTATGCCATTTTGAGGTATTTACCACAAAACGCTAGTTAAATACTGCATGAAAAGGCATTAAAGTCAATTCAAAAAAGGAAATAAATAATTAAATGCATGAGTTAAATAAGTAGCAGTCCAAGCATGTGGTATTTAACCCCTTGGTGCCTGCTGATGCCTTAAGAGTTCCCTTCACTGGAACTAAGGGGCCAAGCTCAACTGCTGAAAAACAATCCCACATCATAATCCCCCCTTCACCAAACTTTACAATTGGCACAATGCAGTCAGGCAAGTACTTTTCTCCTGTCAACTACCAAACCCAGACATGTCCATTACATTGCCAGACAGAGATGCGTGATTTGACACTCCAGAGAACACGTCTCCACTGTTCTATAGTCCAGTGGCGGCATGCTTTACAACATTGAATCTGACGCTTTGCATTGCACTTGGTGATGTAAGGCTTGGATGCAGCTTCTCAGCCATGGAAATCCATTTCATGAAGCTCTCTGAGCACTGCTGTTGTGCTAATCTGAAGGCCACATGAAGTTTGGAGTTCTTTAGCTATTCACTCTGCATAGCTAACAGTTGACCGTGGAATATTTAGTAGCAAGAAAATGTCTCGGATGGACTTATCGCACAGGTGGCAACCTATCCCGGTACCACACTTGAATTCATTGAGCCCATTCTTTCACAAATGTTCGCAGAAGCAGTCTGCATGCCTAGGTATTTGATTTTATACACCTGTGGCCATGGAGGTGATTGAAACACCTGAATCCAATGATTTGGAGGGCTGGCCCAATATTTTTGGCAATATAATGTATCTTTGGCTCAAATATTCACAAGACAGAATTGGATTAGGAATAGACAAGTATTCTTACATAGGTGTGAAACTTGAGCTGTTAGGAGAGGGATGTCATCAATTTGAAGGTTTAACAGATGGATACCAGAGTGACACTTTTAAGACAATGGCTATCCTCTAACAAGACAAAACAGACCTGTCAAAATATATAGCAATTACTTCACCATATATCACAGCAAAAATTATTTTAAAGCAGGGTTTCTCAACCATGGTTCCTCCAGAGGTTATCAGGGGTTTCTTGAGCAATTTCTGCCTCTCAGATACGTTTCCAGTGACACCATTGAACGTTTTAGCTATCCATAGGAGGGTAGTTCTTCCCAATGTCCACAATTATAGAGAGAATTCTTCCTACTGACCATCACACTGTTTTGATAAGTTGCAGATATAGAATTTTTTAGAAGGTGTTCCTTGAGACTGGAAAGTTATTTCAAGGGTTCCTCTGTGTTAAAAGGGTTGAGAAAGGTTGCTTTAAAGTGTAACTAAAGGCAAAACTTTCTTTTTCATTTTGGACATAATAATGGAGAGCTAGAACCTGTTTTTTTTTTTTTTGGACCATCTGTGTCCCATTGGGAAGATTTCCCTTCACTTCAGGTCCCACTGCCAAAACAGGAAGAATGAGAAAATGCCTGCAAATATTGTGTAAGTATGAGAAAATGCCTGCAAACCCCCCCCCCCCCCCCCCAGGTCACCAGAACTAGTTTCCCCATTTGAAAATTTCTCCTCTATTACTTTTCTGAGGACAACCCAAAAGGTGGCTACATGGTTAGCACTTCCACCTGGCAATACTAGAGTCATTGGTTCAAATCCCAGCCATGGCACCACCTGCCTGGAGTTTGCATGTTCTCCCTGTGCCTGCATGGGTTTCCTCTGAGTACTCTGGTTTCCTCCCACACTCCAAAGACATGCTGGTAGGTTAATTGGACCATGTCTAAATTGGCCCTAATATGTGTATGAATGTAAGTTAGGGACCTTAGATTGTACACCCCTTGAGGGTTAGGGACTGATATGAATGTACAATATATATGTGTAAAGCTCTGCGTAATCTGACGGCACAATATAAGTACCTGAAATAAACAAAAAAGGTGAGATTTTCTTTTACTTTTAATGATATCTGTAAACAGGACAAAATAGAGAGGGTGAATCTCCCTGTTTTGGCTATGGAACAGGAAGTGAAGGTAAGTCTCCCCGAAAGAACACAAATGGCAACAAAAACCTGATAGGGGTTATAACCCTCCCTTACTCTATCCAAAATGAAATAAAAAAGTTGTGCCTATAATTCTACTTTACGGAAAATAGACTGTGCACTTTGCAAGTTGCTCCAGAACTTATTAAATGAGGTAAAGCTTCACTTTCCAAAGGATACCCAATCACAAGCTAGGAAAATTAAAAAAGCTGCATTTTTGCTTTCACATGATTGGATGATGGAATTCAGCAGAGCTCCCCCTCATTTACCAAGCTCTGGAGCAACTGCACTTGCAAAGTACTCCGCCTATGTGCCTGTAGTAAATCCACCCCAATACGTGTAGTAAATCCACCCATTAAATTTCGTTAAAGCCACCCCATTACATGTAGTAAAATATATTATTATTTTGCCAGATTATTTTTGTGTATATACAAGCATATATATTATTTGTTGCAAAAAACCTTCCAATCACTCCAAACATAATACAATGTATATGCATTCCACAATGGTCTAATCCCCTGTTAGAACATACTGCATGTCATATGTAGTGGGGATACTTTACTGTTTCAAAATTATTTGTAGAGATATCTTTGACTCAAGTATTTGCAAGACAGAATCGGATTAGGAATAGACAAGTACTCTTACATAGGCGTGGAACTTGAGCTGTTAGGAGAGGGGTGTCATCAATTTGAAGGTTTGATAGATGAATACCAGAGAGACAGTTTGAAGACAATGGCTATTCTCCAACAAGACAAAATAGACTTGTCCAAATATATAGCAGTGACTTCTAACAAATAACCAAAAAATTTTGCAAGCAGCCAAACAAAGCAATACAAAACACCAATTCAATAGAGAAGCAGCTCACATCTACACATACCCATATCAATGTGCCAAAATATAAAAAAAAAATAATGCCGTGCTTTTCAAAAATCAATAAACATTACACATCCAATAATAAATGCAAATACAACAAATATAATAGTGACTTAAAGTTCGTGAGTCCTCTCAGTTATATTTGTAGTATTGTGACATCCTCTTCCCAAACCTACGTATATCCGTGTTCTTAAGAAAACATGTACAATCTTCATAATCCAATATCCGTGTTTCTTTACCAAACACCACAATTGTGCCCTCACCTGAATCATTTTACCTCACATATAATGCTTGGTCATAATGCGCTTATGTCCCTTTAATGGACTGGGATGGCGATGAACCATAAGGAGGAATCTTCTTTCAAAATAAACAGATCACCTTCTCTACATGCCTGTTACTACTCCTTTCTCCGATTGACATTAAAAATGAAAGCCTAATAGTGTCTTATCCTTATAAAAACATTGATTTATTTAAAACTTAAAATGGCCACTCACATAAAAAGGTGCACCACATATATTTAGCATAATATTCATAACACGGATCCATAGGTCTCACTCATCTCGTGTTCCTCGATCCTGAAATGACCGCAAGCGTCGTGACGTCACAAGCCCCTCCCCTACACGTTGCAACAAAGGGACACGTGGCTTCGTCAGGGATATAAAATATAGCAGTGACTTCACCATATATCACAGCAAAAATGACTTTAAACCAGGGTTTCTCAACCAGGGTTCCTCCAGAGGTTACCAGGAGTTCCTTGAGCAATGAGTCATTTCTGCCTCTCTGATAAGTTCCACTGACACCATTGATCTTTTTAGCTATCCGCAATGGGGTAATTCTTCCCAATGCCCAAAAGTGTAAGGAGCATTCTTCCCAGTGACTATCTCACTAGTGTATCATGAGTTGTAAATGTAGCACTACCCTAGTGAGGGCCACTGTGTTGCAGGTACCCCTAAGCTCTGCATAGCCAGGCAACAGATATTTTTACACAGACTTACATCCAAGAACCAGTAACCAATCTGTGGGCTTGTTTTCATTATTTTATTAGGGGAAATAACTTGGATAGAGAAATAAGGATAATGGGATGCCCAGTTTGGCTTGTATCAATGAACGGGGGACATCCTTCCTATGTACAAAAACTGATCCTGGACTGTTGTTTTCCTTGAAAGCCATCAGTCTTTGCAGATCAGTAGCAACAGCCCTTTGTGTGTGAGGAACTAATAGCCCCTCAAAAAGCAGCTTAGCTTCTTGTAACTACATACAGAGATAAATAAAAAGAAAGTTCAGCGATCAGGGATCCCTCCGTGCAGCCGTGCGACGGTGCCAGATCCCCTTGGGCCGCTGCGGTGCGAGTGTGCATGCATGGAGCGTGTGGGCGTGCATGCGCAGGAGCGTGCGAGCGCGCGCATGCGCAGTAGCGTACACGTCACAGCAAGGCGGGCTATTTAAACCTGCAATACAGTTTAGTTAATGCCTTCTGGTCTATAACGTTCTGCACTCCATAACTTGATTCTGTTGCCTGTATCTGATCTGACCCTGACTAAGAAAGAACTCCGCCTGCACTGACCCTGGCTTATCCCTGACTATCCGCTTGTCTGCTCTCTTGTACTTGATTTGCTCATTTGATCCTGACCCGGCTTGTCTGACTCTGCTGCACCTACTTACCTGTATCTGCACCTGGCTTGTATCCTGATTGCGATCATACTTACCTGCTGCTGCACCCACGGTCCTGAACCTGGCCTGCATCCTGGTCATCGCCATACCTGCCTGCTGCCACATCCACGCTCCTGCATCCGCACCAGGCCTGCATCCTGATTGCCGCCATACCTGCCTGCTGCTGCACCTACGTTCCTGTATCCGCACCTAGTCTGCATCGGGATCTCCTGGGTCTTCACCTGCCTGCTACCAGTTCCAGACCTACCCGGCACTCGTGCCACTCCTGGCTCTGCGCCCTCTGTTCCCACTATCAGTGGCTCCGAGCAGGAGTAGTAAGAGGACGCCTCCTCTCCACGTCAGGCTCCCCAACCAGGTATGTGATAGATGTCTTCTCTCTCCCCCTGTGGAGCTGCTCCCCCTGAGCTCCACAGCCTGCAGACACTACCAGCCCTCCTGGTTGCTCAGAAGATCTCCTGAGACAAGGATAAAGGATTGAATCCAGCGCTGTCCTTTGAAAGCTTGGTACATGTGACAGACTCTGCCCTTGTGGATCTCAGGGAGTGCTGATGTACTCACTCTGTCCTCTTTGCTTCCAACTGCTCCAGGTCTCGATCCCATTCACACTGCACTGCTGAATGTATCCTCCTAAGCCAGCCCATTCTGGAAGCCTCCCCAAACTTAGGGGACCCCTTCCAGGTACCTCAGCACGCCATCTTCCACCCTCCTCTGTCAAATCTCCCATATTTATGAGCCAGTCCACCTTTTTACCAGGGCCTCCAAACTTGGGATTGGTCAGATCCCCATAAACATGCAGATTAGGTTTCCACCCCTTCCTGCTTACCGACTTCTGGAAGGTTCCATGGTCCTTCAGAGTCAGGAGGAGGCAATAGAGCCACAACCTGTTAAGCCATCCAGCTGACCTGCAATAACCCGACCTCAATCACAGACTCACATAGTTACCATGAGTCACACACAATGATTTTACCTGCAACACACTACACTATTATAGTTGTACACTAGAGGGTGCTACAAAAATAGTCATTTTTAGCAGGGGTTCCTTGAGACTGGAAAGTAATTTCAAGGGTTCCTGTGTTGAAAAGATTGAGAAAGGCTGATTTAAAGTGCAAATACAGGTAAAACGTTCTTTTT